TGGCGGCGGCGGCGGCGGCGGCGGCGGCGGCGGCTGCTGCTTAGGGCCCGAGGTGGGAGTAATCCCGAGAGCCGTGTCCACTCTGCTGGCGGATGCGGAGGCGCGGAGGGCGCAGGGGTGGGAGTTCGCGCTGACGGCCACGTATGTGGAGATCTACAACGAGAAGATCCGCGACCTCCTCAACCCAGCTAACGATAACTTGCAGGTATGTAGGTCGTCGTCTTCTTTGGGGGTGGGTTTTCTCTTCTTGGTGTTTGATGTGCTGTTTGGCGACGCTACACTTTTTTTTCCTGTCGCTTGTTTTTTGTCTACCTTGCGGTACGGTTTGTTGTCGTATTTCAGGGAGCCGTGTCTCTCTCGCGTGTGTGTTGGAATGTTTCTTTTTTCGCAAACCCAAGGCGTATGGTACTGGTTGTGCCTCCGCTGCTGCTGTGGTCTTCAACACCAACCCGTCGGCGGTGAGTAGCGTGCCGGCATGAACACACCGCAGCGACCAAAAGTACGTACCCCCCCCCCCCCCCCCAACCCCCGCCCCTCGCCGCCATCCCTCTCATTACGCCGGGTCGCATGGGCATTCGCCCTTCCTGTTGGCCTCATGAGCAAACAACTTTTTCAGGCAGTCGCGCGTGTGTGACCGAGCCAATACATTTGTTGGGTGTTTGAGCGAGAAAGAGTGGGGGTCCCCGTTGCTTTTGTTGTTGTTGTTGTTGTTGTTGTTGTTGTTGTTGCTGTCTTGCATTGAAAAAAAAAACGTGCCGGTCTCCACTCAGCACCTTCTAGTACTGGTCCCTACTGACTTGGCGTGGTGAAAAATAACCGGACGGACTCTACATTTGTTTGGTTTTTTGTTTCTCCCTAGGTGAAAGAACACCCTTCCGGTCGCGGTGTGGAAGCCGCCGGCGCTAAGGAGGTGCGGGTTACGAGTCTGGAAGAGGCGGTGGGCGTGCTTAAGAAGGGGGCCGAGCACCGGGCGACGGCGGCGACGCTGATGAACAACGTCTCCAGCAGAAGCCACAGCATTTTCATGCTCAGGTTGGACCAGGTGCGAGGTGCTGTCGTACACGCGGAGCTGTGATAGTGACTGACCTCTGTGTGATGTTAAGCAACTGCCGCGCTGCCCGTGCATTCTTTCCGAAGAAATGGACGTGCGATGTTTAGGTGAACCCATCTTCACTCGTGCTCTATCCAAAAGAGCATCCAGGGTCTCAGAAGGAAGAAAAGCCCAATTTGAACGTGTTCAGCCTGGGACTCGAACCCACGACATACTTTTATCGCAACCGAAACTAAACCCTTGGGCCAGTGGTCCAGCGCTGACTGGAGTAACCGTTTGATTTCGGTGGCTTAATATGTCAGGGCTGGTGTCGCTGCCACAACAGACAGTCACGACAAAGGTGGAGTGGTTGTCCCACACGAGTCGTGCCACCAGCCGCGTCTTCACGAGTGCGCCTTGTGGTTTCCCGGCTGGGTCATGAGGTCTGCGAAGGACACCCGCATTTGCACACGTGGTTGGGTTGGTTTCTGTGTTTGGTGTAGAGACCACACCGCCCCTTCCCACAACTACGGCGCAACAGCAACCTGTGCCCCTCCCCCTTCA